TAATATTGGCATCCTAGTTGTAAAATTAGGAAAAAAAAAATATTTTAAGTAAAACACTCAGTAACAGCTACCTTGATATTTGATAACATGGTTTATCTAGAAGTTACTTCAATAAGAGTTCATAACAAGAATTAAATGGATTGGTTGGCTGCTTTGAACACAGTGAAAAGCACACTACAAGGATAGACAAAGTTTCTCAATATACTCCACCCACATAAAACCTAATCAACTTATAACTGCATTTTACTTGTTCTTTCATCTTGTCCTGGAGGGTTGATGGCAGCATGTTGGGAAAGAGCTTCAAAAGCTTACTACCCAGCCAGTAATGCTCCGAAGACGACAACTTTGCTTTCTTATCACCTCACCTCTGCAAAGCAACTTCCCTGCAAGCTTATGCAAGCACACAACAGACAACAACAAAGGTAAACTATGAAGTTCCACCTCCTCACTTGTACCGCAAGCCACACCTTAAGGAACCGGTGAAAAAAGGGCAACAAAGTTCACACAAACAGTTCCAAATTTTAATCTTTCAACAATAGGTAAACAACTGAAAGCTCACACACCGAAAACACAAAACAAAATTAAAAAAAAAAATCAAGACCACCGAAAATGCACCTGGACATGACTGCACCTTTTTTCCCCTCCACCTCTGTAAAGCAGCCAACCTAGACTCTTCATGCACCGCAACAGAGGCTGTTGATTTAGACGCCTCGTCCCCCTCAACCGGCACAGGCGCACCCGATGACATCCTCACTGCAACCAACCTGAACACACAAAGAAGTCAATGAAAATTGACACCCCAGAAACAAAATAAAACACACGCATGAGTATCTTCAGTAGTAGTGATTGTTGGTTCACTGATGTGCAATTGTTGGCAGTATCTTCATGAGGATGACTACACAAACAATGGCATTGTTGGTTGCACTCAGCCACGTCGTGTAGCTGCCATGAGCGTTGCCAAAAGAGTCAGTGATGAGATGGAAACTGAACTTGGCGATAAAGTTGGATATGCAATACGTTTCGAGGATGTCACTGGGCCCAACAGTGTCATAAAGGTACAACTTTTTATATTCAATCTATCTTTTAGCTTTAGGTTTGTTCATATATGCCCTTCTTTACTGTTTTTGGCTGATGGCTATCCGTGTAGCATACTTATGAGTTACGGCCATTAGTTACGGAAAACTGCATATATGGACATCTTCCGCAAAATCTAATTTGTTTTAAGCTGTAATTCTTGTAGCTCTTGTAAAGTCGTCTAGAATTTTGAACAGTTGTTAATTGCTTATTCACCTTTCTTTTGCAGTACATGA